GCTGAAGCTAGCAAGCGTCGAGGCTGATGTGAAACTCGGAGTCGGAGTAGCAAGCTGCTGCAAATGCCCGTTTTGGCGTCTGTAGCTGTGTGAGTCCTGCGGCCCCGGCCGGCCCGAGTATGATCGTCTACACGAAAAAAAAAAAAGAAGCTGTCGACCTCTCATCTCGATCTCTTATCTAGTACTAGTACTACTGCTACTACTAGCACTCCCGATTCCCGGGTCTTGAACTCAGCCTGTTGAAGTAACACGTTTGAAAGAACATGACTCTTTTTACGTAGATCTACACACCTGAAAGTGCTTGTATCGCACATGCAGTACCGCCAACATGCTATTGCTAGCACTAGGTCGACTAGAGTCTGAAGTCGTGCTGTAGCCGCACACGGATAATACTAAAAAGGATTGTCACTGCGATCCAGTTCCGAGTGTTTGGCCCCAGACGAGAGAGGAGATGTTCCACTGTCCTGCTCTCTACAGTCGGGAAGAAGCCTGAAGTCAAGAACAGCTCTGTTCTGAAGTGCATGCACGGATAAAGGAAGCCTGACTCTGTGGGGTCTACCAGGTCTACTGGCACTGCGCCCCTCTTACCAGCGGCGCACCACAGCTAGCTCTGCACCTCCAGCCAGAGTCGACGCTCTCACCCACCAGCCATACAGTAACTGTTGTTGTAGTTCTCGCAGCGCGCCATGATTTTCACTGTTGGTAAATGACCGTTGCCCTAGCATAGCAGCTATTGGAGGCCATTGTAGCAGGTTATTATACACGAAGAGAAAGAGAACAAGCGATGGAGAACTCTAGCGGGCAGCGGACGGCAACGGAAGAGCCAGAGAAACTCCACCAGGAGGACTTCCAGCGCGAAGCCGACAGTGTTCCGGAGAAGTTACGGCTGCTCAAGTCGACCGGCGGAAATGCATTTCCTAGCGGTGAGTTGCCTAGGACTCTCTAGCTCTCTCGCCTTTGATTATTTTTACACTGTAACTCGCAGTATTCTGCAACAGCACAACAACAGTACAGTCTAGTGCACCGAAGACAGTTGAAGGGCGGAATGCCCTGCCTCTCTCGTTTCGGCTGTGTCTGCAGATCTGGCCGTAACCTGGTAACTCGCGTACCTCTCTGCTTCGCAGGCTACCATGAGCGCTGCATGTGTGCGGGGTGCACCAGATGGAGTGTGGAATGAAGTAAGGGGGGAGGGGGTAGAGGTAGTAAGGATGGTAGGGCACTTGATCATGTTGATCACCGGGGAAACTACTTAGTACAGTGTCACACGCCGTCCCCTCTAGTGGCTCTACGTCTCGCTAAAATCATCGAATCAAGGGATGTTGTTGTTGTTGTTGTTGGTTTATTTTCATTTTCATTACGCACATTAAAACGGGATGAGTACCCAATGCCTATGTGTGTGGGGGGGGGGGGGTATGTGGTGGTGGTGGTGGTGTGTGTGTGCGTGCGTGCGTGTGTGTGCATGTGTATGTGTGTGCGTGTCCATCGTTCCCGTGCATGTCCACCGCGCCCGCATGTGAATGGATGCCTGTGACATGCCTGTGTCAATGTGTGCGTATACGATACAGAGGATGATGATGAAGATGATGAGGTTGCCAGTGCAGATGAAGGAGCCTACTACACGGTAGCTGATGCGCTGGATCGCATAGGTGTGGGCAGATTCCATTATAAGCTGCTGGTAGTCGTCAGCATTATATCAGTGAGTTGTACATTAAATTGTATGTCTCAATCGCCAGAGCACGTCAGTACACTGAGTTCGTTCCATTAAGCCCCAGACTGAGCGATATTGAATTCATTCATGAGTCGCCCCTGGCTATTTACATCACCCCATGTGAATAGGGTGAATAGCTGCGGAATAGATGCGGAACCGATTCAGGGCTCCTGACATGAAATCGAACGACGAGATTCCATTCATGAATCGATTCATGGCAGTAATCGAACGCACCCACTGAATATGGCAAAATCATAATGTAATTTGCCAGATCGGCTGACGGCTCACATTCGGGAATGGAGTCCAACTTGATCATGACATGCCGGGACGCTCTAGTGCATTTCTCTCTCCCGTCACTCATCAGCGTTTCCTCTTCTGCTACTGTTGTGCTGTGCAGGTCGCTGGAGGGCTTGGCTCGACGGGGTTTGCCCTGTTCCCGCCGCTAGCTCGCTGTCATCTGGGTCTGAGGTCGATTCATGAGGCCTTCCTGACCAGTGTAAGTGTGCAGTACCAGTGGTGAGGATTGCCCTCACTCCCAGAACCGGGCTCATAGTTACGATTGGCATGTAACAGAAGCACAGCCATTCCGTTCCCCGGGACGCGGCAGGACACAACGGATAAGAGTAGTTTGTTTTGCATTATATGTTTGGACATTACGGACATGAAGACTGCACTCAAAGAGACAACAAGAAGACTGACGAAAGGGTGACTGCAAAATCGCGCATGCTCATATCACACATGCACGCGACTAGGCGAGACAGTTTGGGGAATGTCGTCACACACGAAAACAATACATCATTTTACAACAGGCATTTTGACCCGGCATTAACCCTTTGAGGCCCATAGTACGGATATATCCGTACCAGTGTACAGTGCATACTTTTCAAAGCGCAACCTGGCGTAACTTGGTCCTTTGACCAAATCGGACCATCGGGGGAGAAGAAGGAAAACTTTCAACTGGTCAGATGCTTGTCCTCACATTAGGTGGTCAACAATTGTAAACCTTTTTATCAGAGGAGTTGGGGCCTGCCGGGCTTAAGTACATGGTTGAAACTCTGCCATTGTCCTCTGATCTTGAATTGTTGATTGTGCATGTGTATTCCTGTAGGCACCGCTGGTCGGTGCTGCTATAGGTGGTGTGGCTCTGGGATATGTAGCAACACGATGGGGTCGACGAACAGTGAGTTATTACTATGTGTATGTGTGTGTACGTGTGTGTGTGTGTACATGTGTGTGTGTGTGTGTGTGTGTGTGTGTGTGTGTGTGTGTGTGTGTGTGTACATGTGTGTGTGTGTGTGTGTGTGTGTGTGTGTGCTTGTGCATGTGAGTGGGTGTGTCTGTGCGTACACGTGTGCGCACACGTCTGTGTGTATGTTTCCATGGATGGTCTTTCATGTGTCTTTGTTGGTGTTTGTGAGCAGCTACCTGATTCTAATCTTACTGTCGAATTCAGATCATGTCACCTGCAGGGGTGGCAACTGAGACCCGACCCCTGCTCTGTATGATCGCATTGCAAACACCCAGCACAGGATTGTATCACTATTTTGAGACCGCTAGAATCGGTGCTACACTCAAGCACGAAAATCAGGGGTCGGATTTCAGTTGCCATCACTGTATGGGTGCTGTCGGAGAAAGCAAATAATACATCCAGTACACTTGCAGTTATCTGTGCTGCTCATGTGACAGGCATACATACATGTACTAACTGGCAGGTATGTACGTGTGTGTGTGTGTATGTGTGTGTGTGTGTGTGTGTGTGTGTGTGTGTGTGTGTGTGTGTGTGTGCGTGTGTGTATGTGCGTGCGCACGGACATCCATTTGTGTACGCTCGCTGTCAGGAACTGATTATCATGATGGTGTGGACGAGTTTCTTTGGCTTCCTGAGCGCCGCTGCTCCCACGTACTGGTGGCTGATCACACTGCGTGTTCTAGTTGGCTTTGGGCACGGCGGAACAGGACAACGGTGAGTCGTGGAGCAACTAATATCTAATATCTCGAAGTCTGAGGAAAATGTTGATCGGTCTATGCTGCGATGACAGCTACACCACAGCTGAGCATTGCTGGCCTCGAACGAAGGTTCCTGGTTCGAGTCCTGGTGCGGGGCATACTCAATTTTTTCTTCAGGCTTTTTTTCACTTTGCCCCCCCCCCCCCCCCCCCCCTTTGGCCAGAACCCTGACCTACATAATTTCAAATGCCGACGTAATCAGTGATCATGTTAACGTTATGCTGTGATGCGACATGATAACATCCCTAGGACTTTCCGCCTGGACTGCACAGTGCCAGAATATTTAAATCCATGTGCTGAAGTTTTAAAGGATAGGCAGAACTTCGGATTGCAAAGGATCAGTCGGGGAAGGCAACTGCAATTGTTTTCCTCCTTTAGGCAGTTCACTTCCCCGACTGATCCATGTGGTTAATTCTAAAATCTTGCCCCACCTGCTGTGATTCCTGGCGCATTATTGTGGTATCCGTACGTTGAGTTGTAATTTATGTACTCCTTCGTTGTACTTGTACTTAACTGGGTATGGTGTGTAACTATTACTTAGGCCAGATGATGTTTGGTTCGTGTTTTTTTTGCTACACGAGTACTTTGAAATGGTACCCCAGGACCGGTCGACCGCCGGAACCAGTTCTTGATTAGTCCGGTAGTACCATGGCCTTTCACACGTTGCCACCATGCGTGTGTGTGTGTGTGTGTGATATGGGGCGGGTACACATGCCCTCCACAGTAGTTAACATGTGTTGGTAGCCAAAAAGTTGGTCCGGTAATAACCTGACCAACCGGACCGATTCCGGCGGGTCTGTACCCGGATTGTCCTCTGCTGTGTGCCGTGTCAGATTATTTCGAATCTGTTTACTGCCTGTCTTTACTGCCTACTGGCATTGGGTTTGTTGATCTGATGCTCAGACTTTCCATATTATTCGAGTACTTACCGAAGAAGGATCGTACTCTGGGAGCAGGCGTTCTGACGGTAGGAGTTCTGTTATGTGTGTATGTGTGTGTGTGTGTGTGTGTGTGTGTGTGTGTGTGTGTGTGTGTGTGTGTGTGTGTGTGTGTGTGTGTGTGTGTGTGTGTGTGTGTGTGTGTGCGATTTCCAATCGAGAGGTTGCGGGTTCAATTCCCGACGATTATGGTCGCACACGTCTTTCTTCTCTTTCTCGGTCTCTTCCTGACTTTTCTTTCATTCTCCTGGGTGGTTACCAACAGCCAGTGTATGCCGGAGTATGTGGTGTGGTGTGTGTGTGTAGAAAAAAAAAAAAAAAAAAGAAAAAAAGAAAAAATGGAAAAATGAAAAATAGGGATTCACTGGCCAGAAAAAGTCACTTCAATCAGCTGTGTGGTGGATACCAGGCTAAAAATAGTGGCGGTCAATTCATCAGCCTTGCAAGCTGTTGAATGGTGTAATCCCAGCACAAGTTGCTATGTCTAACATAGCTGTTCGCTATCATCGCTTCCGCGATGGGCAGGTCTGAGGTCTGAGGTGTGTGTGTGTGTGTGTGTGTGTGTGTGTGTGTATGTGTGTGCACATGTGTGTGTGTTGGGGGGGGGGGCATGTGTGTGTGTGTGGGTGGGTGTGCGTGGCCAGCACGTTCAATCACCAATCGAGACCTGGTCCACGGTCCTGTGATTCGTGGACGGGGCACTGTGATCAGGCCTTCTTGTGGAAGCGCGCGAGTTCGATTGGGAATAAAGGAGGAAGGGAGCGGCTCAGCTTCTTCGGACCAAGATCATTCGACTGAGCACCCCGAAGACTACAACTGACCAAGATCATTCGACTGAGCACCCCGAAGACTACAACTGACCAAGATCATTCGACTGAGCACCCCGAAGACTACAACTGACCAAGATCATTCGACTGAGCACCCCGAAGACTACAACTGACCAAGATCATTCGACTGAGCACCCCGAAGACTACAACTGACCAAGATCATTCGACTGAGCACCCCGAAGACTACAACTGACCAAGATCATTCGACTGAGCACCCCGAAGACTACAACTGACCAAGATCATTCGACTGAGCACCCCGAAGACTACAACTGACCAAGATCATTCGACTGAGCACCCCGAAGACTACAACTGACCAAGATTGTACTTCCCCATTTTTGTTAGCTGCGCTTGGTTTTTCGCTGCAGTGTGTTGGTGTGTTGCCTGTGTTGGTGTGTTGCCTGTGTTGGTGTGTTGCCTGTGTTGCCTGTGTTGGTGTGTGTGTGTGTACACCTTCAGTCCATGGTACAGTCAGACCTCGCTTAACCGCACGCATTCGTTTTCCACAAAAATATATCCGGATAGGCGAGGGAACCGGATAATCGAACACACATACTGTATGTATGCATGACATATGCTGGAAATCGGTAACCAACGATTTTCTTCCGGATGGCGAGGGATCCGGATAAAAGTGGACCGGATAACTGCGGCGAGGTCTGACTGTAACAGTTGCAGAGTTGCAGCAGGGGCATCAGACACACTGCGGTCACTACGGTATTGCGTCTATTGACTGGACCACTCGTAGCACTCTTTGCCCCAGGCACAGTGTACCCCGCTAATCAATCAAGAGCACTGTTTTAGGCTCTGAATTTTGAAATTTCGAGCCACCCCTCCCAACAAGGAAATTGTACCTCAGATGGCTGACTGTACCACCCTCTAAATTAGTAGTTAAAACTACCTTCCGATGCCCCTGAGTTGAGCTTGCTGTGTATTGTTATTGTTTCTCTGCTTATCTGGTTCAGTTTTGCTGGAACATTGGCAATTTCCTGGAGGCCGTGCTCATCAAGTTTCTCATCCCGACGGGCGTTGCGTGGCGCTTGATTCTGATCGCCGATGCTTTCGTTTTTGGTATCGCTCTGCTGTTCTTCAAGGTACTAGTATGTGTGTGTGTGTGTGTGCTGCCTTCGTCACACAGTGAAATTGTAATGGGATCTAGCTGAGTGGCTTGATTCTTTCTACGTTTTAGATGCAACGATGATGTGGTAGGTCCACTGTATTTCCGAATGGGCACGAGAAGTGGTGCCGGGGCCAAGCTGCCCTGCCGACCTTAAAGGTCTCGGCATCCACCGTAGATACAGCGTGCCACAGTGTAGCTAAATCATGAGGAGGGGAGGAAGAAGAGGGTAGGTTTGAAGGTAATGCCTGTGCCCAACACATCTTGTACAAAACTATCCACCAAAGCCGCAAAGGAAAGCATGCTTGGCAGCTGAAAACCGTAGATTAAAGGGGATGTTAAGGCCTAAAATCAAATGTTCACCAGTTGTAGTCTTCGGGGTGCTGAGTCGAATGGTCTTCGTCCGAGGAAGCTGAGACGCTCCCTTCCTTCTTTATTCGCAATCGAACTCGCGCACTTCCACCGAAACTGGGTGACTGCGCCCAACTAGATGGAAATTTGTATGCAAAATGTCACTAAAAGCGCCGTTTCGTTCTTATAAAAAAGAAAGTCACCTGGTCACCGCGCCAGCAGGCGACAACTTTCACACCAAGGTTCAACTCGAGTGACAGAAACTTGCCCAAACATGCTGTAAGTTGTAGCCTGCAGGAAGGGTGACCAGGTGACTGGTGTACGCATGAGCACGTGACCGCTTGTTCAGCCATGTTCGATTGGGAATAAGGGCCGGACGCTACATCACATCCTTTTCGGACCAAAACCAGTCGACTCAGCGTCCTAAAGACTACAACATATGGGCCAATCGTGGTCATCCGTGCCTTTTATAAGAACGACACGGCGCTTTTAGTGACATTTTGCATACAAATCCCCATCTACAGTGCTTGCTGGCAACTGAAATCCGACCCCCTGAGCGGTGCGCTCACATCGCAAAGAATGTGAACCCACCGCTCAGGGGGTCGGATTTCAGTTGCCAGCACTATAGTAGGGCGCAGTCACCCAGTTTCGGTGGAAGTGCACGAGTTCGATTGGGAATAAAGAGGGAAGGGAGCGTCTCAGCTTCCACGGACCGAGATCATTCGATTCAGCACCCTGAAGACTACAACTGGTGAACATTTTGATTTTAGACGTAACTTCCCCTTTACTACTAGTGAGTGATGTAATGCCCCGGCTGATTCCCCAGTGTGTGGCCATGTGATGTGCATGAGCAGCAGTGATGCCAGACCCCAGGCGCCCACTTGCATGCTCTTGGGGTTATGTACCCTTGATGTTAAACGGTTGTCTATAAGATCCTCAGGCTGCATACAGAGTGCAGAAACAATGATCACACAGCCATGACGCAACCAAGTCTTCTTCTGCCGTTACTTGGAGTTTCGTGCAAAAAAAAACGTTTAAGCACACTCATAGGGCTTGAAAGTGATGACGTCAAAACGGCCAGGGAGTAGTAAGTTGACATCAGATTTCTATTTTTGGATCCACTAAGGTGTGACTTTGCTATTGCCTAAGTATGTGGGTGCATAGCAACCCACTCATGTCGCATGCAGGTGTGACTTTTATTTCGCCACCAGTTGTAACCCCGCCCCCAGTAGCCAAATCAGTCAGTTTCACTGGCTACATCACCATGATGTGGGTAAGACCGCTTGAAATGTGCTTGGATCCATACAAAAACTGGATCCAAGTGGATCCAGTTTTTGAATTTTTGAAATTGTTGCTTTGCTGTGACGTAGCACTTTCAAGCCCTATTGAACAGCATGATAGGAAAGTTGCTCTTGATGTTACATGTATTAATTTCTCTCTTTCACTTCTCCAGTGGCTACCTGAATCGTGTTTCTACCTTATGGCAAGGGGCCAAAGGACAGAGGCTCTCAGACTTCTAACAAAGGCGGCAACCGAAAACAACAAGAAGTTACCGATTGGCACGCTCGTAACGGCCGATGAGAAGGAAAAATACATGAACAAAGTGGTGGTGAGTGTATCTCTTGCTGAGTGTTGCTACAGCACTGTCGGGTAGCGCCGAAGAACGAACAGGCTGGGATTTCACCAAGCACAGCGTGCCGATGTATACACGGATGCGGGTGACTCGAGCATGGGTAGACTGTAGTCCATGTACATGAAAGTTAGAATGGACTTGGCTAGGAGGCTGCCCCCCCCCCCCCCCCCCCCTGTTCTTCGGCACCCGACACACCTGCAC